TATCCTCTGTTATCTGTTATCTACACTTGTTCATGAAATATCTATCCTATGCCTGTGTCATGCCTTTGCCGCCGGTCTATTCCTTCATGCTATGGATGTGTGCGCTACTCCTCCGTCTGTTGTTGTGTTGTGGCTCTTGTGTCTTGGTGTGCTATTTGTGTGTTGGTTTGGTTTGTGGTTCTTGTGTTGTCGGTTGCCTATGGACCGAGCCTTCGAGCCAGTCGAGAGAGCGATGGTTCGAAGGTTGTGATCGTGAGCTCGTCTCGCCATGGCCATAACGACAAGCATATCCCTTCTCTCATGCCTTAGTTGTCTCCGAAGTGCTATGATTGTTAGTGACCCGATTTGGCCCTCGGACATGGCCATCATGGACTCAACATCGGTAAGGAATATCACCCGCACACGATGAGCCTTTCGTGACCTAACCTAGAGGACAAGTTAGGAAACAACGATCGTGGACCGACGGATGCCAACTCATGTAGGTATAGCTTGTGGCCGCGAGTTCGCCTCACCATGACCACCGGGCTTTACCTCTTTTCTCGCTTGTTTTATCCTAACCACCTCATACGCTTGTACCACCTAGACCATAGCGTTCCTTCGGATCTAGCGATGACAACTACATCGCTATGAACCTTAGGGATAGCCTTGTGCCGACTTAGTTGCACGGTCGTGGTGCCCCATGAGTGGGTTTGGATCGTGGGATCATGTCCCCTTTCTTCCAACCCTCGTCCGTCCCATGGCGAGTTGGTCGAAAGATTGCAGATTCCATCCTTCCCTCCTCCCTGTTCTCAATCCTCGTCGATCCAGTAAGATGTGGAATGAGCCCTTCGCTAGTTTAGTGTTTATTGCTCTCTTGATTCCATTCTTTCGATTCTCGTCGTTTCATATGGCGAGTGGATCAGAGGAAGGTGAATCCTGTGTCCCCCTCTTTTGATTCTTTGTGCTTAAGCCCTTGTATGCTTGTACCTGTCTAGACCGTAGTATTTCTTTGGTTCTCATAGTGACAACCGCACCACTAAGAACCCTAGGAATGTCTTAGTGCATTTAGTGCACCTAGGTCATGGTACGCTACAAGTGGATTGGGCACTCATGTTCTCTTGTGTGTCGCTCCTTCTCGATGCCTCGTCTTTTCCATGGCACGTGGATTGGAAGAAGTAGACCATTGCCCCTTTTCTTCTCTCCTCGTTCCACCCTCTCTTGGTTCACGTCAGTTACAATGGCGTACGGATTGAGAGAGACCAAAATTGCTTCTTTTCCCCCTTAGCCGCTCCTTTCGATTCTCGTCAATCTAAATGATGCTGGATCGAAAGATCGCAAGCCGTGGTGTTTGCTTAGGACGAGCTAAAGTCTATGCCATTTTTCTTGAAGTAGTATAGGTCGACTCGATCGGCTTGGGAAGTACTGGCTAGGCTATGACTTGAGCTTGTGATTAGCGAACAACCATTTCTGTTTCTTTTGGCCCAAAGATCGGATATCCGCCGAGAGGGCTAAGTTATTTTTCCTTGGTGTTCTTTCGGTGTAGTTGCTCTTCCGTGTCATGTTGCCCTTTTAGACTTTTGATTGCTTTTTATCTTGCTTGTCGCTCCTTCAAGGCAGTTGCATCGAGGATAGCGATGATCGAGCTAGAACCCGTTGGAGGAAGGACATACGGAGAACAACAAGACTTGGAGAAAAATGACTAGAAGTACACTGAGGATCTCCGAGATTACGTTCAATAGGTGCCACGTCCCACCCAACCTTGTAGAATCCTATTAGACATGCTACAATGTAGATGCTAGTGCTTTACTTTTATGCAAATGAACTGTGATAGGTTACATGGTAGATTTGCTTGTGAGCCATTACCTTATTGCAACCTATACCCTTGCACACCCGTCGTTAGGCTAGATGCTCTCTTACTACTTACTCCTTTACTTCTACTACGCATTATATGTGTGATGTGATGCTTGGTGGAGGATTGTTTGTGAGCGGATAAGGCACTTGGTGCCGATAATGTGGTAATAATGTGATAACAACTTGGGGAGATCTTGGTGTGTGTCTTGGGTGTGTGGTGAGGGTTGAGTCGATCGGGTAGGATCTTATGATGAGTCGTTAGACGAGTCTTGCCGAATGGGTGTGACCTAGGCATCCCTCATGAGAGGTACCTATGGCGGTTGCATGTGAGATGAGTAGATCATGGGGTGGAGTGTCTTTGTGGGACAAAGCCCCAAGATGGAGGTGTCACCGAGGCATGGCGTGTCGGTTAACCCCTGGAGAAGATATCCTATCCGGTCCCCCTAAGGACTAGTATGTCTTGAGAACCGGATCATAGGACCCTACGTACACACCACTTGTTCCTGAATGGGCGGGGGACGATTACCCGACCAACTAGGACGGTGCCACTAATACTAGGTTGGAAGGTGATAGTGTAGGGAGGTACGAACATAGGACCCACACCCTCCTTAGACAGCGTAGTGACCTCTAGGGGCCTAGTACTACGTCTCACAGTCTCAGCGTTTCGGTGGACTCCGAGGTGGCCCAGGGCTAAGTGGTAGGGTGGCACCATACCGGTTGGGAGGCAGTCGGTATCAGCCTAGATGAGCCGGATCATCGATGATGGTGATCTTGTGGTTCCAGGTGTACACGCTCTGCAGAGTTGATCGATCTAGTGCTTTACTTTTATGCAAATGAACTGTGATAGGTTACATGGTAGATTTGCTTGTGAGCCATTACCTTGTCGCAACCTAAACCCTTGCACGCCCGCTGTTAGGCTAGACGCTCGCTTACTACTTACTGCTTTTACTTCTACTATGCATTATGTCTGTGATGTGATGCTTGGTGGAGGATTGTTTATGAGTGGCTAAGGCACTTGGTGCAAGTAATGTGATAATAATGTGATAACAACTTCAGGAGATCTTGGCGTGCGTCTTGAGTGTGTGGTTAGGGTTGAATCGATCGGGCAGGATCTTACGATGAGTCGTTGGACGAGTCTTGCTGGAGGGGTGCGACCTGGGCATCCCTCATGAGAGGTACCTATGGCAGGTGCATGTGAGATGAGTAGATCTCGGGGTGGAGTGTCTTTGTGGGACGAAGCCCCAGGATGGAGGTATCGTCGAGGCACGGGATGTCAGTTAACCCCATGAGAAGTTATCATGTCTGGACCCCCTAAGGACTAGTATGTCTTGAGAACCGGATCATAGGAGCCTATGTACACACCACTCGTTCCTGAATGGGCGGGGGACGATTACCCGACCAACTAGGACGGTGCCACTACTACTAGGTTGGAAGGTGATAGTGTAGGGAGGTATGGGCATGGGACCCACACCCTCCTAAGATAGCGTAGTGACCTCTGGGGGCCTAGTACTATGTCTCATAGTCTCAGCATTTTGGTGGACTACGAGGTGGCCTAGGGCTGAGTGGTAGGGTGGCACCATACCGGTTGGGAGGCAGTCGGTATCAGCCTAGACGAGCTGGATCATCGATGATGGTGATCTTGTGGTTCCAGGTGTACACGTTCTACAGAGTGATCGATCTATGCATATAGCCAAGTCTTCGGATATGGACATTCCTATGACCTATGCTTCACTTGATTAGTGAGAGGTGTCCTTTTTTCTTCTTCCCCTGGGTTTGTTGTTGGATTCCGGCATGAGCCGATGAGGCAAGGCACGAGCGGGAGTCGTCCTTGCCGCTTAGAGAGTGAGAGTGTGGTGAGATGTGTGTGATGGGATGGGTGAACGTGTGGATGAGATGGGTTAAAACTTGATGAACTATTATTATAAAATATTGATGGACTTGCATAGGAAACCTACAGCCACATATAGTCTTTTTGCTCCACCCTTGCATTCCACTTGCCACAAAGCATTCGCAAAGCATAGGGTGGGAGCCAGTGGCCAGTACAAATTGTACTGATAATTGTTCAGCAGGATTGGATGTCATCTACGATAATGACAATAGAAGATTAGAAGGACTAGATGGTCTCGTTCCTGCACTCAAGTTTGGTTGAGAAGATGAAGTCTACGCTCGCTGACATTCTACGCCGACTCTAATGATTGCCCGTGAAGGAGGAGCCTTCACTCGCTGACGCGCTACGTCGACTCTAATAAAGATGTGTGTGTTCCTGCTAGGATAACGATGTACTTAGGTGTGTCACCAAGTGTCGTATTGCCTTGTAAACTCATACTTCCGTGATATATGACTGTGATATCAGCTGAATAAAGATAATGTGATAACTTGGTTTTTCTGGGATTATCACGTTATGTTGTAATATGTGGATTTCCCTTCGAGGAAATCCTGGATCGCTTCATTGCATCTGGAGCCGCCTCTAAAAATAGGGGTATTTGTAGAGGTGGCTGAAAATAGCACTACCTCTACAAATGTATTTCTTGAGGCGGCTCCGTTCAAACCAATTTGTAGTGGCGGCTGTAGATTAAGCCACCTCTATTAAAAATAGAGACGTTGCTAGAAATCAAATCTATAGTAGTGATGGCTTTGTTATCCGACATGGCTTTGTTATGCACCTAGAAAAGCCGAAATGACTTATAATTTGGAATGGATGTAGTATCTACCCCATGTTTCTATAATCATAGTTGTCCTAAAGCTAATGCCCAGTAGCTGGCCATGCCTTTCTTTTAAGTTTCAACAAATCTAACTTGTTGAAACCTCTTGCCTTTGGAATACAAAGACACCTCAATGTGAACCATGATAAAAGTAACCACTAGAAAACATTGCATAGTAGTCACAATTCCCAAAAGAGAACATTTAAAGCCTGAGTACAATGCATGAACTCCATATTGTACTGGATTTGCATCCATTCATGCAGATTTATTTTGAAATATATGAGCCCGTTGCGAGCAGATGTTTGTGTGTAAGTTCGTATAAAATATGGCACACTTTTAGTATGTTGGCTAACCTAAGTGTAATCGTTGTATAGAAGAAGAAGTAACCTGATCCTTGTCAAAAATAATAAGGATCCTTAATTAATTTATTGGCAGGTAGTCGGAATTGACCAACTGAAAACTATTGGGATGGAAATTCTTGAAAATTGTGACGGCTTACCACTTGCAATTAAATTGATTGGTGGAGGGCTCTTGAGCACAAGACACCCAAGTGAGCGTGAGTGGAAAGCTATTTTGAACATGCCTGCATGGTCACTCACTGGACTGCCTCTAGATCTAGACAACCGGTTGTACTTGAGGTACGAGGATTTGTCTCCCCAGTTAAAGCAGTGCTTTCTATATTGCTCGATGTTCCCTAAAGGTGTACCAATCTTACAAGATGAAGTTACTGAAATGTGGATCAGTGAAGGCCTTATTCAACCACCAGATAAAAGAAGTACCAGTTCACATGAGTATGATTTGGAAGACAAAGCAACTGAGTATTACCAAGAGTTAATAAAGAGAAATCTTATAGAACCTATAGAAGGATATTATCTCACTGGATTCAGATGCACCATGCATGATGTGGTCCGATCCTTTGCTGAATATTTGGCAAGAGAAGAATCAGTGATGGTTGGCCAAGAGCAGGCTAATACCGGCGGTGGTGGGGTGCTTGTGCGTCGCTTGTCAGTAGGACAAACCGTACTAGTGGTGGAATGGGCTGTTTTGCAAAGGCACGAGTCACTTAGAACATTAATTGTGAACTCTAGGGTAAACTTTCATCCTGGTGATTCAGTGGGTAGTTTCTCCGGTCTACGTGTGATGTACATACTGTCCGCCAATTCTGATACACTAGTTCCCTCTCTATCTAGGTTAAAGCACTTGAGATACCTTCACCTAGAAGATACTGATATATCTAGGCTACCAGATGACATCCACAAGATGAAATTTCTACTGTACATTTCACTTGTTGACTGTAAGAGCCTATGCTATCTTCCTGGCAGCATCACAAAACTTGTGCATCTAAGGTCTCTTAACATCGATGGATCAAATGTTAGTGTAGTTCCTAAGGGGTTCGGTGAGTTAACAAATCTGAGGTCACTTTATGGCTTCCCAGTACACGTGGATATGGATGCAAGCAGTAGCTGGTGCAGTTTGCAAGAGCTGGAGCCTCTCTCTCAGCTTAAGGATCTTACATTACATGGCCTAGAGAAGGTGCAAGACAGCCGAATGGCTGAAATGGCCATGATTAGCAGCAAACACCACCTTAGGGAACTACAGTTGGACATACTTTGGGGACAGGTGGTCGTGAGGCTGGGCAGCAGCACAAGCAACAGAGTGTAATTGAGGAGGTCTTGGAAAAGCTCTGCCCTCCAACCTGCATAGAGAATTTTACTTTGAGTGGGGGATATGTTGGACGCCAGCTACCGAACTGGATGTGTGCTCCAGCATCAGTAGACTTTAAGAGCCTGAGATATTTATGGCTGCAGAACCTGCCTTGCTGCATCCAGCTCCCTGATGGTCTGTGTTCCATCCCAAGTTTGGAAATGCTGGAAATCACGGATGCACCGGCCATCAAGTGTATTGGCCCCAATTCCAAGCGTCATCCACCATGGCAGCTACAGTTACCGCTACTAGCACATCAGCACCATTTCCTAAATTGAGACGGCTGTATCTGAATGGGCTACCTGAGTGCGAGGAGTGGGAATGGAATGACTGTGAGGAGCATAGTGATGTGGAAACTGCCATAGCCATGCCTTGCCTTGAGAAACTCCAAATCGATAACTGCAAGCTGAGCTGTCTTCCACCGGGCCTTGCCAGCAGCAAGAGGCATGCTCTTAGAGAACTAAACCTGTACGAGCTCACCAACCTGACACATGTGGAGAACTTCCCTTCAGTTGTGGAACTTGACGTGTTTGACTGCCCTGAGCTCAAGAGGATCAACGGCCTCCCCATGTTGCAGAAGATTAGGATCGTTCGCTGCACAAAGCTGGAGGTTCTAGAAGGTGTCCCAGCACTCGACAGTCTTCGACTGGAGGACGCCACCATGGACACGCTTCCGGAATACCTGCGAGCCGTAAACCCAAGGTATCTCGAGTTGGGTTGCAACCTGGAACTATGCGAATCCTCCTTATCACCGGGTAGCTCTGAATGGAACAAGATCAGCCATATTGGAAAACGCAACATTGGCTGGCTCGAAGATTAATTAGTACTGGATGGTTTGGATGACCGAGGACTGCACGGCTGCATCGAGAATAGCTCATGCATTTAGGTAATCAGTATAGCGCCCGTGTTAACGCCATGACATCATTTCAGGGATGCAAATAAAAACAACCAAACGTCGATTTTTTTTTCTAGAGTTCAACTTTCACACAATTGTATATGACCATGTATACAATCCGAAAAACACTTATGCATAACAAGGCATAATAAATTTATTTCTCACATTATTAACCATCTAATTTACGATCTAACTCTCACCAACCCAACCACGTTCCGTGTCTCAACACATCATACAACTATCATTTGGACCACAATAAAGCATCGAAATAAATGCAAGGCTAATCTTAAGATGTTTCTATAGTGCACTGATAGGCATATGATCATGATGCAGTAATCCTTAAATCTTTTTTCTAGTTGAAACAGTAGTCAAGGCAAATGCATTGATAGTTTATTTAATTTTCAAATACTAGGATCTTGCCTGTGCGTTGCAACGGGAACAAAATAATATCACAATAATTTTAAGCTTAATCATGCATATTAGCCTGTGAGTGTTATTTCTTTATGTGATTGCAGCATTTCACCAGATTTCTTAGCTTTTCTTCAACAGTCTCCATAAGGGAACCTCTGCGTTGTAGAGATATGATTTTCGATGTGGAAGAGTTTGTTTCTGAAATAGTTTTTTTCTGCTGTATCTTTTTTTCGCAAACTCTTTTTTGCCGTATTTTTTTGGAAACGGGGATGTGGAAGAGTTTGATTTTTTTTTGCCTTGTATATGTTTTTTTGGAGACATTTTTTTTGCCGTACTTGATTTTTTCGGTTTGGAAACGGGGAGGTTGGTTTTTTTTACTGTGTTTTTTTTTTGCCGTGGGGCGGGGCGACGCAGACGATAGCTGCAGGGATTTTTTAGGTGTAGATAGATAGATAGAAGATAGCTACCTATGTGGACGTGGCGATCGCATACACAATGATCGTCTCCCTTTTTAGATGGTACGATCCGGATTGCATGTGGACAGGCTAAGACTGATCCGGAATTTTTCTTTTGACCAAGACCAATCCGGATTTTGTATGTGGGCATGCACGTGCACCGTATATCCTAGGGGGAGCGTCCGGAATTTTCTTTTTGGCAAGACCGATCAACGTATTCTCGGGGGGCAAGCGTGTACACTCTGAGTTTTTTTAGGTGGTACTAATTGGCGGCGTGGGGTGATCGCGTAATTGATCACGATTGTTATGGGAATTGATTTTTGCCTTCCTGATTTGCTGCGGTTGTTATGGGGATTGAGCTGATCGCATGGAGCGAGTGCACGTTGCCTTCATGATCTGATCGCACAGAGGGAATTGATTTTTGCCTTCCTAATTTGCTGCGACTGTTATGGGGATTGAGCTGATCACATGGAGCGAGTACACGTCACCTTTCTGATCTGATCGCATGGAGCGGCTTTGGTGTAGCACACGTGGACGGAATAGTTATGAATGTTTTAGTTGTAGAGATTTGACAAAAGACAAGGTGCCATACATTTCATCAAAAAGGAATTTATAATACATCGTACACAATTGCTGTAGGACTTCAAAACCTAGCGTACATGGACCTGTAATACATGATGACCTCAACTCGCTTTGCCATGTAATAAAATGTCTAGTGTACAATGGTAAGTACAGAAGACTTAAGTTTTTAAGCACTCTGACCATAGATAAGTGATACTATCTAAACTATGGAACCATCCTTGTGAAATCACCTTTTTCTCTTTGTTTCTCCCATCTACAATACCATCCAGAACTACCAAACAACTCTCAGGAAGTCATGTACCAAGCAACCATCGATGATAATTTATCTTGTGCCATTAGTTTGACATAGGGTCCATGCCATCAGGAAGTAAACAAGTAGACACAACTTAAAAGAACCATTATCTTCACAAATCTCCTTCAACATCAAATAGTACCTCCAACATCAAATCAAATTAAAATAAAATGGGAACCGGAAAGAACCTGCTTCTATTTCTGCCATATAACATATCCACTAAAACCTGCAAGCACATTTATAGGTATCGAGAAGAATATTTCATATGTATATGTGCGAAGTTAGAAGCATCCTTTTTTTTCCAGCAATCCTGTACAGACTATTCTACAAGTACACAATTTTTCAAGAGCCCAAAACATTTACAGCTTCCTGATATTTTAGTTTAATTTAAAATAAATTACTAAAATATAAAACACCTTTGCTGACATTTTCATGTTAATTTATTCTGAAATACATGCAGTATATCATAAACCAAATTTCTTGTCTTCAAACAGAGAGAAAAATAAAGTTGGAATGTACAACCTACCCCAAATATGGAATCAGATAACCATGACTTTCTACCAATTATTATGGCATTGTGCACATCTTCATTAGAGAGGTAAGAGATCATGTGATCAAGTAAAAAGCTTATGCACACTAAAATTTAATACTCCAAAATCACTGAAGACTATGCTAGTTACAAAAAAAAAAAGACTGCGCATATTCCCCACTCCATGGCAGCCTCAATCAGAGAATGTATGATCAGCTCAAAAAGCATGAAGATTAGTAGCTCCCACAATGTTTGCCCTACAATATAGTGGCAGAAAAGAACAAATTGATCAGGGTATTAGTATAGAGAGTCCTTCCTCAGATCCCATTTATTCTTTTGCCTTCCATGTGATCCTCTACATGGCAATCTCACTGTTCCTGTAGTAGGCTGAGATAACTAACAAGAACATTGGAGTGCTGAGTTGCCTAAAATTTGTAGATTATGCCAAATCCACCACCCCCTAGTAACGAATGTTGCCTAAAATTTTTGGTAATTCTCTTAAGCTCCTCAAATGTGAACGCTGTCAAAGGATTGCGAGTTGTATCCTTTCTCAGCGCCTCCATCTCTTTTGGGTTGAATGGTAGCTGGCAGTCCTCCTTTTCAATTCTCTCCGATGGGCTCTAAATTTTGGGAGATTCTGCAGAAAACAAATAGGCAAGTCAAATATGGAGACTGAAATATAGGATGCAGATTATTCAGAAACTTTGTAAAATCAGTTACCAAAAAGCAGAACAAAAGTGTCTGATCATTACATGGAATAGCCATAAAATCAACTGTCAAGGTTAGAAACAGAAAGAATCATTGGATTGGGTCAGATTAAACATTAGGACTTATTTTTTTGTGAAGAAAATATTCAGTACTGAAATAGCTGTAACTGGATTAAGCAATAGCAGGGACATGTTCCCTGATTCTATCAAGATGAGAGAACACACACACTCTCTCTCTCTCTCTTAAAAAAAAACAGCATCTTCGTTAATGCCTAAATTGAGGGGATCAAACAAATACCTGAAACTTCTGCATAATATCATTCAGAAGAAAGAGCAAGCATTCAAGCACTTTGATCCCAACTTTTGTGCTGAAAACAATGCTCTTTTCAATATATCAAATTAGCTTTCGTACCTCATTTATGTGGGAAGTGTCACGTTTGCAAGTAACCTAGCATTGTTTCACATTAACTGCTATTTGATTATTCGGAAACCTTGGAACTTCTTGGTTGCATATAAAAGATTGCTGACATACTCCAAATAGTGATTGCCAGTGGCATCACCGTGCATGCCTACATAATTCAAGGATTTATAGCCTTAGAGATACTGCGATAACACAGTTAGCACCAAATCTTGTTCTTCTGTACTCAACTCCCTCTTGACTCGACATAAAAAAAAACTCCCTCTTGACTCTGCAGTTCGGCACGCACAATGAGCAACAGGAAGGGACGAAAGCGAAGCGCGCGGCCGTGACGGCGATTACCTCGGAGGTGCTGGAGCCGAACTAGAGGAGGCCGGGCTGCCCATCCGCGGACTTGTTCTTGAGCTCCTCGATATTGCAGCGCTCTGCCTCACGCTGCTTCTCCAGCCGCCGGATCTTCACCGCATCCTGCGCCGTCCCCACGTACCTATCGCCCAAAACGAATGGATGCCACCAGCCCACCACCAGCAGAGGAGGGGAGTCGATGTCGTGGTCAAGAGGGGCGGGGGCGCCTATGTCGGAGCCGGGAGGAGCAGGGGCGTCGCCATCACATCCTGGGGAAGGAGGAGCGCCGATGGGCACCGTCGGCTTCGCAGACAACGCCGCCGCCATAGCCGAGCCCGTCGTCGCCTTCGCAGACGCCCGCCGCAGGGGGGCTCGCGGCCGGTGACAATGAGGAAGGGCAGTGACTACAGCCTCCATGCCCCCCATGTGGTGGGTAGAGCAGATGTAGACGAAAGAGAGGACGTCGTGGAGGGGAAGGGAGGGCGAGAAGACGGCCTCCTGCTCGTGACTCATGAGCAAGGCCTCGTCGTGACTCCGACGTGCAAGGAGTAAGGGCGGGCGATGGAAATCTGCTGATGATTGGGTGACGAGGTAGCTTCCTTTTGAGCCGTTTAAGCGTGTGTCAGCCTGCCTGACTGCAGCGCATGCTGGCGTGGGAGGTCCATGGGAGGAGGCGATGGAGGCGCACACACTAAACATGAGCCGTCGGATTTGGATGAGTAATGAGAGAGAATGGCTACGAGATAATCTGGTGCATCCGTTTTGATGGTGTTATATTTTCTGGGTGCATTCATGGGTGTGGATGTAGCATAGGTCATGACTGTGGAGCAGGCATTTATTGTGTGGCTGCAGATTTATTCTAACTGGTGTATTATAGGGGGTAGATAATTAATATGCAATCTTTTACTACTATAGACCGAAAGTGGTTTTCCAGATTAGTACTATAATTATTGCTTGTACTTCGATTCGTTGCATAACCACAGTAATATCCATGCATCAACCACTGATTACATCAATTATTTATGTGATTAGCAGGCGGAGAATGCTTCCATTCGGCCAGGGGCATCAAATGTTATGGCGATTAAAGAGAAGTGATACAGCCTGAAGAGAAGACATCCACACTTGTTTTAGAATAACGAAAATAGTGCTAGCGTTCACCTTAATTTTCCCTCTATAAGTCTTTCGG